GGAAGTTCAGTTATCTCTCAATAGATAGGAGAAAAATACTTGGAAGTTCAGTTATCTCTCAATAGATGGAGAAAAAATTAAGAAAATATACTTGGAAGTTCAGTTATCTCTCAAGCCTTAGGGTGACCAGACGACCTGGTTTTGCCAGGACAGTTCAGTTTTTTGGTTGTTTGTCCCGAGAACATGGAATCCAAAATGTAATCCCTCATTGTTGTAACACGTACTCTCCTGTTACTAAACTCTCTCGAAAGTTCTGTTTATGCGTAGTGAAAAACCCAGGTCTGCGCGGATTTCTAAGTTAGTAGTGCTGTAGTAGACCTATAAACGTCAGGGACTGTTCTCTGAGATATTTCTGTTATTGAAAATGTTTAACCCATCATAGTGTAAAAATTCCGAAAATAAAGTGTGTTTTTACAAATACATTGAAAGCAAATTTTCCTTCTATTAAAGGCAAATGAATTGGATAACAAAGTTGAGTGTAATATTTTCAAAGCTGTGCTTTCAATAACACACGGTGGCAGATCGGACATTACCGATCAATTATTTTAAAACCAATGCCAATGTTAATATATTTGTAAATATTGTGGAACAGCTCAATAAGTTTAAAGATAATGAAATAAGAGTTTAATTATTCCAAATTTGTAATAACCTATATGGAATTAGGGGCAAGGACTGGGATGTCCCAGTTTTTCGGTTTTGAAACCTGGTCACCTTACTACTGTAACAATCCACCAGTGTACAACGGCTGATCACAGGATGTTAAATTTTTAGAGTGGCGACATGGCAGAACCAACTTAGCAACTTGGCCTAAATGTTCTATAATTAGCCTTATCAACACAGGCGGGTCACGCTTATCATCCGGAGAATGTCGGGCATTGACCCTTGGTACAGACCGTCACAACGACGATACTGACACCACTCAGACAGTGCTTTCGTAAATAGATAATGAGTGAAGGTCATATTTCATACTTTACCTAGATATTTTTTCCACTACTCAAGATTTATAAAAAAACTGAAAATCTTCAAATCTCGAAAATCCAAAGATTTGATGAAATGTCGTAAAATTTTCCTAAGATCCCAAGGTCCAACTTCAGATCCTAAGGGGTAATAACGCTGTTCCCAACCTTTACACTCCATGGGTCATCAATATCTTTGTAAAAAGCTTACGTCATTAGAGGTATTTGGATTATATAGGGCTATAGAGATGTTTCTAATTTTGCTTCTTCAAGGAGTTGTCTCCAGATGGGTTATTGATTTACCATGTATCGTAATTTGGGCCAAGTTCTTTCAGTAAGTTCCCGGCTAACATTAATCTTCTGTGAGGTATAAAAATGAAAAAAAATACTTGACTCTGAACATATTATAGTACTGTTAGTTGTACGTATTTTAATCAAAATAGTAACACCTTCCATCAAAGAGAACATATGGGGTCCTTTCAATTTCCAAACTTTCGCTATTTTGTTATTTATTTTTCCGTGATATCTTACTGATTATCACTAGAATTAGGAGAAATTAATTTTTGCTAAAACTACTTTCACGCCAATTTTGTTTGAAATTGGTATTGAAATAGCTATTCGTGTTTGTTGTCCCAAACATAAGGACCGAGTATTGCCTTTCCTCTAGTCGGTAGTTCAAAATTAAGAGCGACTATGTTCAGATTTCATTTGTGTAGCTTTACACGAAATTCTGAAATAAACAAACTCGAACACAATATTTACATTTAGGTAATTTAGTCGTTGAAAGAAAATATTTAGTACGAGCATTTAACAATACAAACTGGGTCTTCTTCCCCCGTTTAACTCTTTCATCGCCACCTTCACAGATGGACAGGTATGCTAGTGCTAAGTTTCTTTTTAGAGAGAGAGAGAGACACACACACAAACATTTTAAATATCTCATTACTAATCTGAAACCTGAAAGCGGTAAACTCTAGGAAGCTACCGTTTCTTCACAATGATATAAAATTCCAAACTCCAATGGCAGTGCTCTAGAGGTGGACATATATCTATACATATATTTCAAAATGATAATAAAATAAATAAAAATAATTATACCTTGCAATCTATGTCATTTGACAAGTTGCCATGTTTATAGCTTAACACCAATATTAGCTAATTATTAGCTAATTTAACCTGATAGGTATAGCACCTAATGCATATTACTGACACACATACACTTCTCATCTTACTTTAAAGCTTAAAGAAATGTTAAACTAACGTGAGGATACATTATTGTTCAAAGCAGCAACTTGTCAGATAAATGGCATTCATTTAGATACCAGAATACAATATAAACAAGGTCATAAATAACTTGTGGAATCAACTGTTATAGACATAATCACACCGATCATCAGTAATGAAAAATTACTGCTTTCCCCAACCTCTCTCTACGTTAAGGTTTTACAGGTTAATGTTAATATTACAGGCTGGTTGCTTTTAAAATAATGCCTTCTTTATAACCATAATTAAAAATATTATTTTGATTTTATAGATGTGAGCGTAAGTAGACCACCCATTAAAAGTCATTGAATGTTTTGGTGACTGATCCAATTAATGTCTTGATTGAAAACCTTTCAAGTAAAGAAAAATGTATTCATAAAATTTATTTAACTTTGTTATTTCAGAGCTAGATCGACGAAAGTGAAAAATTGAGTTTTACCATGAACTACAGTTTGTTTCCTGTTACTCAAATGATTGTTATTGTTATGTTGTTCTTTTATTGGCTAGTTATTTTAATCATACAGTGAAAATAATTCAAAGTCCAATCCATGCAAACGATAACAAATTAGTTTATTTCTTCCATAATATTTCTATTAGCTTGAACACTATGGTAACTTGTGGGTTTACAAAATATGTTAATCGCACTATACCGAACCCTGTATTTATAATCTACCCTCGAATTTACTAATAACTATGACGTCAAATTTTTTAGAACTTTCTAGGTAATCTATGCCTACATTATTAAGCTTTTTAATCTTAACGTCATTATTACGACCCGCAGCTCTCTTTAGCAAGCAAAAAAAAATTACAATATTAAAATATAGATTACAATATTGCCCTCTTCTTGGATTGTGAAACCCCTTGAACAATCCTAATACAAAAAAAAACGAAAAAAAAACACTTTACTAAACTGTCAATTCACCAAGTGTGTATGGGGGTTTCTTTTCCAAGGCCCATGGTATATAGATGAGATGGCATCTTGTCCGAGTTGTCACTGGCCATCCTATTAATGGGATAGTTAGTCCTGGGTAGGTGGTTGAGTGAACCTATTTGAAGCTAGCCTGATCTCTCATTTATGTCTCTACATGAAATCAGTTCCAAATCCAGCTAGTTTCTATTTTTTTAATGTCTGGTTAGTTCTCTGTTGCTCGTTTAATCTGGTTGGGTTCAAATGCACATTCTCAGAGTATTGTTTCCTTGACTTATAACAGCTCTTGATTCTTTATAATCTCGGCTGCAATGGCAATATTTACCACAATTATAACAGTCCCCCTTTCTAGTATCCTCTGGGAGGAGCTCTTTTTCCATACTGTCTTTAACCTGTAGTTCTTAGCAATTTGTCTTTTTAAGTTGAATTTGAAGCACTTATTTTATTGTGGTTGATTTCCTCCATTCTTTGTAACTAGCTGTGTGATTAATTCCAGTGACTCCCACAGGGTGAGGAGGAGTTCAGTTGGCTAAAACCCCTACCTTCCTGCCCTGATGCCCCAAAAATACACTTTTTTCTCTATCATAAAAATTGTCAACTCACTATGGAAAAATGCTCCTGAATCCACACATTGCTTGCTGTGAGTTATTAGGTGGAAAATATTTCAGTATTAAAATAAATGGTGCGCGAGGACTTGTAGTTCTTTATAATATAAAACTAATTTTGACATGCTATTAAGTGTCAATATGCAATTGTTAACTGCTTAGTTTTAGGTCATAAAATGTTTATAAGACTAACTGAATAGGAATAAAATATTATATGTTTGCTTCTTATGAATTTTTATTCTATGTGTCAGAGGCAACCCTCAGTCCACATAGCCTCCTCTAACATCCACTCACCACGAAAAAAGGCTTGCCTTACGATACTTGTAAATGAGCCCTGCCCTTTTAATATCTTCTACACATTACTAATTAATTAATTTAGTTCTTCTAGACTATTGTTATGGAGACTTGATGTTTCAGTACTACAGGATCTGATAATCTCGTAACTTCTAGATGGTGCTTTTAGTAGTTTATCTGCAACTTTAATGAATTCAAACTCCAATTCCAGCTGGAGAGTTTCATTTAAAGACATACACTTACGTTGCTTCAACCAGTTCTCATATCCTCATCAATTATAACATCTATAAATTGCTCAAAAGCAAACGAATTCACCAAGATAAAATAACCTGGAAATACTTTCCAAATTTCCTGCAAGTTCAGCTAAGGCCTCTTATTATTTCCTTTGTAACTTATTCCAGAACTTTGCTCTGGTACTTCTTTATTTTTTGAAACTCCGAACCTGTGGATAAGGGGGCTACCAATGCATAGTAGTTACGGACCTCATCTGGAAGGCTACTTAATGTTGCCAGTGTTAGAGGTGTATGCCTGATTATCTTATGAGATAACTTTTTCTTTTGAAGTTAATAAACGCTTACAAAAGTAGTTCTCAGAAAATCTAAGGAAGTCATGATATACAGTCACAGTACACTTTTCAGGCCCCCAGTGGCACAGCGGTATGTCTGCGGACTTACAACGCTAGAAACCGGGTTTCGATACCCGTGGTGGGCAGAGCACAGATAGCCCTTGTGTAGCTTTGTGCATAATTAAAAACAAACAAAACAAACAAACAAACACTTTTCAGATGTAAATGCCACCGATAATAGCACCAAACTAAGCCAATAATGCTATTGAACCATTTTAAAGTGAAGCAACACTCCCTCTCCATTATGACGAAACCTAATGTTCCGTATCTTTCGCAATGTTTTGAAATTTCCAACGCTGTGCGTTTTGCACCTTCGAAGTTTCCTGAATATCAAGTCCTCTGTAGAATACAAATTTAAACGTGTTTGTATATGCACAATATTTCCTGCAAGAAACAGTTCTGTACTCTCCTTGAGAGCAATTCCAAATCAAATAATGTCGTTTTCCTTATAACAGTTATGTTAAAGTCCGATTTTTGAAATATATAACCAGAGGAGCACACAGAAACTTAAATAGAGGATTTCAAGAGTGTGACAAGGGGCCATTTACTAAATACCTTATTATTGATTGATATTTTATTTGAACACCTTCGAATAAGTTTTCCAAAAAATATTTCAGATCTAATATATTTCTGCAGTCGATAAAACTATTTTCGTTATAAAGACGAAAAACTTTGAGTTCCAGCAGAGAAGGTTTACGGAGACCACGGAATTCCCCAGTGTGCGCAACTGATTATCTTTCTATGTTAGAGAAATAACATATTCAAGATTACCTACAGTCTTTGAAACCGTATTTCCATTCTGATTTATTTTCATAAGCGGTGGGTTATTTTTAATGACTTCTATCCTTGAAAATAGTGTATTTTTATAATCAATATGGGGGAGGCAATTTTATTGGAGACTCATGGATCTTGAGATTTTTGAAGATTAAAATGTTAAAATCACTTGATTATTTCCTATATTATTTGATAACTATTCAAAAAGCGTAACTACACATTTTATGCATATGTATTGTTTCCAAACTAAATAAAATAAATTAATCACAAGGGAGGGGGCAGTTCAGCTCCACCCTTGCAACAAAGGAGCACGACTGTTTCAGCTATTAGACGTTAGGTGTATTATTCTATTTCAAAATCAAAGTGTTGACATCTTTCAGTTCCAGTGTTTCCCGCTAAAAGCACTGCAATCTATTATATTTTGAGAGAGTTTGATACAATGAATACTTGTAGTTAGGCTTCAAAATGATGGCCGATGTGTTGTTTGGTACGTTGTTGATGTTTTTTCATTAATTGTTAAAAATTACACGTAATATACGTAATTTCATCGATGAGTGAATTGCTGTTCTTTGTCAAAATACGATTAAAAACTTGTAATAACTAAATTAGTAATGATGGATTTGTATGCTGCTTCGAACACCTCTTCATCATGTTCATATTCGTATATCAGTATCATGTATGTACGTATCTTGTCTTGTGACTCCACGTATAAATTGCATTTCTGTCACGTGTATGCTGTAACTTAAAACATAAACTGTAATAAGAGTTGTGTTGCTACTTGCTCTAAAAGTTATAGGACTTTTTTTTAACTTTTAATTTAATACAAACATGCACTTGCTCAAGAAGTTATAGGACTTTTTTTAACTTTTAATTTAATACAAACGTGCACTCGCGCTTTGTTTATTCAATTATTGTTAATCTCAAAGTATTGGTTAAATTAATTAAGGAAGTATACTGCCAATGTAACTGAAAAAAAACTTGTCTTTTACTATTAGTGTTATTAGTTTAACGTGGTGAAACGTTCTAACCACACATTGTTACTTTTTTTTTTGTCCAGTGTTTGTGTAATAGGACATTTTACTGTCTTTCAGAATGTTAATGTCTAACATGATTTGATTGTATGAACAGAGGGAAAGAGTCTTCCTTTAACTTATACCTCTGTCTGAATCTGTTGTCATTGTTTCTTTCTAGTTAATTTACAATGTTGTTAGGTGCTTATGGCTTCCTACCACTGTACTATATATGATTGTGAGTATTTTAAATCATCTTCTACTACTATTGTTTGTAAAAACTTCACATGCTTGGACAGCCTGTACAAAAGGTGTTCCTACAAATTATGTTTTGGGTCTGACTTTTGGATTGATGATATTAAATGTGAAGAAGCATGTATAAATGTACATCTTGTATATATATATATTTAAAAACCTCAGAACTTCTTTTCATTATTGCTAAAAATATATTTAAAGCACTAACTCAATAATTATGTAGTCAAGAAAATCTAAGTAATTCCCTTCAAGACTGTTGAATAAATCTTGAAATATGGGAATCACTATAGTACCTGTCATTGTAATGAAATTTAATAATAACAGTTGTAGGGATATCTATTTCCAGTCATGTATTTAAACAATGTATATGTATGCATTTGTTGCTGTTGTTTTTTAATGACATTTTATATTCATGTTTTGGTTATAAAACGTTAGGTATATTCAGTGGTGGGATTCAAATATTTTAACAACAGGTTCTCTCACTAGCAGCATGTAAAAATATTAGATATTAAAAAAAAGGAGGGGCCAGAAAGCATCCACCCCAT